CAGATGTCTTAGTTTCCTGTGAAAGAAGAGGTGCTTAGCAGAGTCCAGCAGGCACTCACTGTGCTGACGCCAAAGACCACCCCTAGGTGCCCATGAGGCTGCATCTTCTCTCCCCAGCAGGCCCTGTGCATGGGAATACTGTGCCCCTCAGTGTCATCACCCCAGCACCACCCCCACCCCGTCTAGGAATCTCTAGGGGGTTAAATAGTGGCTCCCCACAAGATATATTCAAGCCCCAGCCCCAGAACCTGTGTATGGCCCTTATTCAGAAACGAGCCTTTGCAGATGGGATGAAGTCAAGAGGCTCAGGATGAGATCATCCTGGATTTAGGGAGGGCCCTGAATCCAGTGACTTGTCAGGAATGAGAGGAGACACCGTGGGAAACACAGAGCGGGGGCCATGGGGCCTCAAGGGCAGAGGCTACAGCGATGCTGCCAGGAGCCAGGAGCTGCCCGAGCTGCTGGAAGAACGAGGAGACAGGAAGGGGCTGCCCTAGAGCCGCGGAGGGAGCGGGTCCTGCCCACACCTCAATCTCAGACTCTGGCCTCTAGAATTGGGAGAGAGGAATTTCCGTTGTCTGAAGCCACTTATCCAAGGTGGGCAGCATGAAGTTTTATATAGTATCCATAGCGCAGTGGCTACTGCCATCCAGCCAATTAGTGTCTCCATTACTTTACATAGTTACCGTGTGTGTGTGTGTGTGTGTGTGTGTGTGTGTGTGTGGTAAGAGCCCCTAAAATGTACTCTCAGCAAAATTTCCATATACAACATAATATTATTAGACCTCATGCTATACACCACATCTCCCGGATTTATTCGTCTTCTTTAACTGCATTAGGCCCAGGTCTGGGCGTGTGGAGTAGATAAAGCAGGGTGAATGGGACCCCCAGGGTCCGTCCTGGAACTGAGGATGGGGACGGGTCATAAACAGCCCCGAGCTCAGGAGACTGCAGGAGGGCATGTGTGAGCCCTCTCGTTATAGCAGCTGTCCCCTTTGGCAGTGCCAAGCTCTGTGCCCCACCTGCACACCTTGCTTCTAAAGGTGACTCCCTGCAGGTGCTCTGGCTATAATGAGGCAGATGGCAGAGGCCTGGGATGTTTGAAAGCAGAGATCGTACAGGGAGAGTGTGGGGCAGAGCTCACCCCATCTTCAAATAGGCTGTGGGAGTTGAACTCAGCCTGCCCTTCCTGCACATGAGCAGAGCCAGAGATCACAGATGCCCAGCCACCCATGGGCGTCCCACTGCCTGGACCTCACAGATCCAGTGCCCACCACAATCCCGCTCTGCAATCTGATTCTGCCCTTTCTTCAGACCCTCATGACAACATGAGAACAGAGGAATTAAGATGTGGCTGTCAGTGATGAGCTGTCAATTCTAAAAAGTACTCATGAAAACGAGGCCAAGTTGTATCCATCACAAAAACCCCACCCAAGAACTCAGCCAGGAAGAACAATCGTCCTCTGCCTTCCAAGTGAGCAGAAAATAGTGGCAGAGGTCCTCAGCGATGGGCAAAGGGAAAGCAGCCCCAGGTACTTGCGCCCCCACGGTGCTCCCACCTCCCAGCCCCGAGGCCCCTGCACCCGGCAGCCCAGTTCTGCCAGATAAACATTTCTCATCGGGGACGGTACAGGCAGATCCCAAACCCAGTGTTTCTAATTATCTTCAAAGCACATGCTGAAGACTGATTTGCATATTGAAAATATGGCAGGGCAGGAAGGGAGCTCATTGGCATTTCTCAACTCTGCCAGTGTTGTCTTCTGATGGTGTCATAAGACACTCCTCTAATGAAGTAATAAAAACAGTGTGAAATTTCAAACCACCCCAGGACACCTTTAAATGACAGCACCTCCTTTCCTGCAGTGATGAGAAAGGAATGGCTCAGAAGCTGCCGACCACACAGGGCTTCCTGGGACCCTATCACAGTCCAGTGAGCTGTCTAAACATTCGCATGGACACCTCACTGTGCGTCACTCAGTCGCCAGCAGTGAGGCACCCACCCTCCCATGGTAGAGCTTCCCACACTAACTACCTACCTGGCTAACTCCCACGCATTCTAATTTCCCAGGCAAGCATGCAGATGACTGATATAAAGTCTGCTGTGGACTGGGCACAGTGGCTCAAGCCTGTAATCCCAGCACTTTAGGAGGCTCAGGCAGGTGGATTGCCTTAGCTCAGGAGTTCAAGACCAGCCTAGGCAGCATGGTGAAACCCCCTCTCTACTAAAATACAAAAAATTAAACAGGAGTGGTGGCATGCGCCTGTAGTCCCAGCTACTCAGGAGGCTGAGGCAGGAGAATTGCTTGAACCCAGGAGGTGGAGGTTGTGGTGAGCCGAGATTGCATTCCACTTGGAGACAGAGCAAGACTCCATCTCCGAAAAAAAAAAAAAAAAGTCTGCTGTGTGTGCTCATTCCATCTTCAAAAAAAAGTGTTTAATTTGTTAGCATATAAAGTATGTGTAACTGTGAAGACAGCCAGGTGCTCCAGGGAAATTTTGCTTTAAACAAAGACACATCTTACAGCGTGTGTTCTGTGGGCCGTATCTATGTGTGTATAGAGCATGCCACGGTCATGTGGGGCTCTGTAAGAGGCAACTGCATCTGTGTGAAACAGCATGGGAAACTTGGGAACCCAATGCTGTCACCCCTAGAAGAAGAGAAAGGTCTGTCAAGTTGGCCTTGGGTGGAAGCTTTTCCCAACTCAGTGCCCCAATTCCCCGACCAGGAAGCCTGTGTTGGCCTTGAGCTGCCAGTCCCTGGGCCCAGAATCCTCATCTGCTCCCCAGGCACCTACCCTCAGCTCCAATCTCTGGGAGGAACAGACCAGCCAGCATGCAGTTAGCAGCTGAGAAGCCAGTTCATGCTGGGGAGGTGCAGGCTTTGGGGTGGTCGCTCCCTAGTCTTGTCTTAAGATACAACGTCAATGCTTTGTCCCGACCTCCCTACCCAGTCTTGTCCCTGCCTGGTTTATAGTTTCCTTCATGCACTCCCCTGCTTGCCCACAGTGGATTCTTCAGCCCTGGTACCCCACAGAATGTTCCTGGGTTTTTCAGGTCCAGGGTCTTCTCAACCCCAGAGACCCACTAAGCTCCCAGCACTCACAGCTGCGCTCTGGGAGTCACCCTGCTTTGTTCCTTGTTTCTTTGCTTTCCACAGCACCTGTCTGACAAGACATCATTTTTGGCTACCATGCGAATTGCCCCTCCAGACCACTCAGCAACCACTACCATGTTGGTCCACGCAGGGAAAGGCCACGACCACCACAAAAGCCCCCATCCCTCCACCTTGCACAGCACTGAATGCTCAGGGAAGCTCCCTAAATCTGTGACACATGAACAAATGAACATCTTGACCCTGTTGGAAACCCAGAGCTGGAGAAAGAGGTGGTGCCCTTGAGAAGCATCTGCGACTTAGACCTCTTAGGTAGCAGGCAGAGGGCACTTTCCATGTCACACATGAGATTGGCTCCCTGGCTCACAGAAGGATGATGGACTCTGAGTGCAAAGGGCACTTTCTATCCCTCAAGACACTGATGGCATTCGGGTAGACTTGAGCTCTCTTAAACTGAGGCAGACAGAGCACCTGTCTGCTGGGAATGGTGATTGAGTCAAGGGGCAAAAGCATCACCACAGACCCAGACGCAATCAGGAATTAAAGCAGGAGGCTGGGTCTGAAATGCAATTCAGTGTCACGGCACAGGCTGAACACCGCCTCTGTTCCAGACACTGCTTTATAACCTCCTTCACACACTCCACTCCTTGCCCACAAGTGGACTCTCCAGCTCTCGTACCCCATAGAACTATTCCGGGACTTTTCAGGGTCAGGGTATTCTCAGCTGAGCTGCAGGAAGCGCCAAGGTAAAGAAGCCGCAGGCCTGCCCTGCAGTTCACCTTCTGACCATGAAGACAGATGTGTGCCCCTCAAGCTGCAGCCTTCTTTCACTACGGCACTGAGCCACGTTCAGGCTGTGGGCTGCCCAGTGCTCCGGACAAGAAGGCTTAGCCGTCTCTGACCTCATGGAGATCCAACATGCGTCAGCTGATGTCCCAAGTGATAAATAATGTCTGATTGCCGCTTGTGATAAGCATTGTGGAAGAAACACGGAGGGTGGTGTGAGAGCTCATCCCAGAGAGTGTGGCCTACATATGGGCCTGGGGATCTAATAGGAAGAGCCATCCTGGAGTCTGGAATGTGGTGCTTGAGCTGGGAAGGGTTGGCCAAGTGCTTGGCATGGAAGAAGAGTCAGAGATAGGAAAGCTGCATCCTGTGAGGGGGCACGACAGGTCTGCAGAATGGCAAGTGGGACTGGAGGGCAGGAGCCAGGGCAGGTCCGGGGATGCATGGCAGGGGTGGGGCTAGCAGATGCCATGCCACCTGGACTTTCTGACAGTGTTAAGGCTGCTGGTCTTTATCTCCAGGGTGGGTGGAATATCCATACATCTAACCCCACTCCTTCTTTCTCAGGTTGGGCTCCAATGTACCCTTCTCTGTGATGTCTTTTTTTTTTTTTTTTTGAGATGGAGTTTCACTCTTGTTGCCTTGGCTGGAGTGCAACAGTGTGCTCTCCGCTCACTGCAACCCCCAACTCCTGGGTTCAAGTGATTCTTTTGCCTCAGCCTCCCAAGTAGCTGGGATTACAGGCATGCGCCACCACGCCTGGCTTATTTCTTATTTTTAGTAGACATGGGGTTTCTCCATGTTGGTCAGGCTGGTCTCTAACTCCTGACCTCAGGTGATCCACCCACCTTAGCCTTCCAAAGTGCTGGGATTACAAGTGTGAGCCACCCTGCCTGACCTGCGATGCATTTTTTTAAAGACAAGGGCTCACTCTGTCACCCAGGCTGGAGTACAGTGACATTATCAGAGCTCACTGCAGCCTCAACCTTGTAGGCTCAGTCGATCCTCCCACCTCAGCCTCCAAGTAGCAGTGACTACAGGGTGTGTCACCACCCCCAGCTACTGCTGCCTTTCTGATGCACCTTCCTTAAAATTAAACCCAGCCGGGCTCCCTGCCTCCCATCTCACGTCTTAGTCTTGTCCACAACACTTTGCCATTTACATACAATGTCATTTACCTCTTTTTATAATTTTTTTAATTTCAATAGTTTTTGGGGTGCAGGTGGTTTTTTGGTTACTTGGATAAGTTCTTTAGTGGTGATTCCTAAGATTTTGGTGCCCCTGTCACCTGAGCAGTATATGCTGTACTCAGTGTGGAGTCTTTTATCCCTCAGCCCACTCCCCCATTTCCCCGAGTGCCCAGAGTCCATTGTACCATTCTCATTGTGTCCTCACAGCTTTAGCTCCCACTAAAAAGTGAGACATTTGGTTTTCCATTCCCGAGTTACCTCACTTAGCATAACGGTCTCCAGCTCCATCCAAGTTGCTGCAAAAGACATTCTTTCCTTCCTTTTCATGGCCGAACAGCATTCCGTGGTGTATATATGCCACATTTTCCCTCTTTATTTATTCCCTGTCTCCTTCCACTAGAGGAAACGCTGCAGGAGGACAGGGAATGGTCTTTTCTTGTCCGGATTTCTTCCCTGCTGTCTCTTCAGTGCCCTTGATGGGGTTGCCTTTGTTGGTTCCTAGCTTTCTCTCTCACATTTAAAGGCACACAAATTGCAGAGATCAAGCGGGTTTGAAGGTCGCTGGGGCAAAGGGGAAGGTTGTTCCCTGCAGGAATCTTAGAAACACTGCAGGCATCGCTGAGGGCCCAGGGAAGCCAGGAACATATAGTGATACTAATCCACACGGGGGTGGGGGGATTCTCCAGAAATTCTCAGCAGTGTGGGTATGGAGAATGCACACAGCTCAGCTGGCCCACACAAGTTCCACACTGACACAGGGCAAGGGAGGACACCAAGCAGGGAAGCCATGTCAAGGAAGAAAAGCACAAAGGTATGCTCAAAATGTACGGGAGGAAAGAGATGATGAGAAGGATCAGGACGTGAAGCAAAATATGTTTAGCAGCCAAAAGTGCACAGCACATCCCCTGGTGAGCTGCAGAAGGCAGGATTCAGTCCTCCCTGCAGGCAGCTGACACCGGCATGGGCCACATTTCTGAGACCCAGCATCAGCATGGTCTGGTCCGTCATTCCAGGAGCAGGGCTGCAGTTTCCCCAGCCCTCCCATAGGTGTGCACTGACCTTAGAAGCCAAGGTGATCAAAAGCTGGTCTGTTCTCTGGACCATACAACGGCCCTGCAGCATACCTAGAGCCATCCTTATTTTAAAGACAGCATGTCGTGATTTCTCCACTGATGGATGGAGGGCTTGGGATGCCCTATGAAAGGTGGCATGGAAAATTCACAGCAATCTTGGAAATAGATGTTTGAAATAGATGCTCAGTGCTGCAAAGAAGAATTAGCACTGAGACAATGGATCTTTCAGCAACTCAATTTTTACTTCCTGGAATGCAGGAAGGGGACCCTCGGTAGCCATCTTGCCAAGAGAGTACAAAGAACAAAGGAAAACACACAACTTTATCCCTTACGCATTTGGGGTCATCCTTACTGCTGCATCTGATCTCCATTGGCTAGAGCCAGACCTCACAATCTAAACTAAAACCCGATTGGCTAACAACTTAAAACTTTTCTAAACAGGTAAAAGCAATGGAGAGCTGGGCCATGCCTGTGAGCATGTCCAGCACAGACATCTTGGTTAAAGTACAAGGACACAGAATGTACTACGTGCCTGTAAGCACAGCATATCTAACAGCTACAGAGGATAGGGCTTAACAAAGTTATTAGCACACTTATTCCTTAACAAGAAAGCAAACTTTAAAAAGGACTTTCTGCTTCCCACATTTAGCAATGAAGCAGGAAGGCCTCGGATGGAATTGCCGAGGGCACAGCTGAGGGAAGGAGTGCATGGACCTTGGTGGAGTCCTCATTATGTGCTGGCCCTTTACACTCTCCCATTTGATTCTTAGGAGAATCCAATGAAATATGCATGTGCTTCCAAACCTGCAACATTTAAAAGGAAAATGCATCAGGAGGGGCATGTTTACATGCATAAGAGGCACATGCCTAAAACTGAAAGTATGCAAGACATTTTTGTTCTTTCAAAACACTTGAAAATATCCTCAAAGGCTGTTAAAACCAGTTCCCGCAACTGAAATTGCTAGGCATTTTACTGAGTTAACAGAAACACATTTTAACACATAGCTAATTCACCCAATTGATAAACTTGCAAATTGATTTCAGTGAATTGAATTATGTTCGATTTCAGGGACTTGGTCCTGTAGCAAAGCATTTATTTTGTGAACTGATTGACCACGGATTAGTTTTGCCAACCCATCTGTTTGGATCCAGAGCTGATCTCCCTACTCAGCCAAAGACCTCTGGAACCACAGCAGCCTGCTCCAAGGAGCTCCTGCTTTCTGCCGACCTGTTGAGATTCCATATTCGGAACCTCAATTTGATCATTTGAATGTATCAATCCATAGGCTGGCCACATGCATAACTCTGCCAAGTACTGTTTCCAACACCGCAGGGTGCAGGAAGACTTAGTCCGGGGGTCCATCCTCCCCTATGTCCTGCTGCAGCACAAGGAGATGTGAATGGGCTGGCTCAGCCCCATCCCACCTCCTGTCACAAGGAGATTCGCAGTCAGATGCTATGTAAACCTGGGTTGGTATTTGGTGGGTGATGGATGTTTCTCTGCAAGCGTTCACAGTCCACCTGTCCCCTGCCCCATGCAGATGTGATTTAGGGCATCATGAATCAATCATCACATCCAGAATTTCAGGGAACAGATGTCCTCTTTAGAGATTCTAATGCAAACTGTTAACCTCCAGATTCCTTTGGCTTTTTTTTTAAGAAGTGCCAGTTGTCTGTGAAGATGTCAAAGGGCACAAATGTTATTTGGATATGGGACTCACCGATAGGTCTCTCTTGAATGAAATAAATGTGTCTTATGGGACAAGCACACAGAGGGAGTCCAGGCAGCACTACCACCCCAGACACCAGCTTGAGCCGGGCGACGTCGTCAGCAGCAAACAGATGCACTGCAGGGCATCTGAAATTAATCACTGCTGCTGGCATTTTAATAAACAGCTGCTTTTGAAATTGCTTTGGAATGAGCACAGATTCTGACCAAATCTTTTTGAAAGAAGATCAGGGCACTATAAAGCTGTCTATTTTGAAGGCAAGGAGAAAACACACTTGAAAGTAATTCTTAATCGACTCCTTCAGGAATCAGCCCATGTGGAGTGACCCTAAGTAACTTTTCATGAGCTCAGGCCTACACAGAGGCACAGGGCAGTGACATGTGTTGGGGGACCTCACACCAGGGGAGCCCAGATTAACCATGTGGTCTTCTTGAGGTATCTCACCTTGCCAGGACTCAGGTTCCTCATAGAGAGTCAGAAGAGAGCGCAACTCTCCCTCTTCTGTGGGCTCCTGCAAGGAACTGAGGAGACCTGGGATGTGGCCCCCCTCCAAGTGGATGAAGATGCCCCCAACACAAGACAGCCTCTGTCACCCACTGCATCCTCCCAAGTGGAACCCAGGAGCAGCTCTACTGTGGGGATAAAAAGAACTCCAAATCAGGTCAGATCCATAGTTTTGCGACTGGTGACCTGGGAAGATGCTCAGCCTTTTTGGCCAAACATCCAGGGTGATAAATTGAAGGTTGGAAAGGATTCGCTGCAGCAGAAGGATCCATTGCTTTGCCTCCGGGCTCCCTCTGGGTTGGGAGGGCAGGTGAATGTGTGGACGAAGCGCTGGGTGGGGCAGGAACCCAGCCCCACATTCTCTCTCCGCTGCTGCTTTCTTTCCCAGGGCTACAGGTTGCCACTCAAATAGCTCCGGGGTATTCTTTCGTTTTTGTTTTTGTGTTTCATGAGAATGTCATAGTTCTTTTACAGCCATGCTGAATAAAGCCGTGCTGAATAAAGCCGAGGGGAGCACACTGCCAGCCTCCAATATCAGAAGCAGGCAGAGGCATCCGAGAGTCGAACTTGGGTCAACTGGGGCCCAAATCACTGCGTAAGTGGCCGAGTGCCACGGAGTTCCCCATCAACAGTACAGAAAAAAAAAAAAAAAAGAATTCACCCAGACTGAAACACGACCACCAGGACAATCCCCTCCTCATTCCAAGCAAGAGGAGCTTCCCCAAAGCAACTCCAGACATGGGTATCACAGCCCTGCACACCTCGGGTGAGGAGAGTCAGGCCAGGACATCAGACGGGAACCCCAGGGACCACACTGTGCACTACACATGGGTCAGAGATTAGCTCTGAGCTCCGCATTGCTGAGGAGCTTAGCAGTAGTGGGCTTGACATGGCAGTAATTCCAGGGTACGCACCTCCCACGGCTTAGTGACAGGAGAGAGAATCACTGAAGGAGCAAGAGGAGGCTCTGTTGATTATCTGCACTCGGCAGCCGCCACTGCCAGCCCTAGGCACCTCGCCCCTCCTGGCAGTGTCCAGATCAAGCTGGCTCCATCCCTCCCTCTGAGGCTGGAGCAGCTTTGGTCTGAGCAGCACGGTTCATTCACAGAGGCAGGGAGGCTCCTGTGTTCACTGTCCCCAGCTGGGGAAGTATTTCAGGTCCTGAGCCCCCACCAAACCTCTGCCTGACTTCTTGGCAACTTGTCCCACATTGACTCACCTCAACCTTTCAACCCGGGTCAGGAGATGTAAGACGCAAGCAGGGACACTGTGCCACCTGGACGTACAAACTGCTGCCATGTTCAGGAAGAAATAGCTGACTCATTCAAGGAGACGTGACTACATGGACGAATGCTACAGAAGACACGTGCTTCTGGACATGGACGTCTTATTCCACAGAGCAGCTAATCAGATTGCCTGAGGAGAAAACAAACCAGCGCCTATTAATTAGCTTAAATGTAAGTTTTGAACTGTAATATTTAGCAGGTTGAATTCTAAAGCAGGCAGGCCAACTAGAAAATAAGATCTGCTGTTTCTCGGGGGCTGACATGTGGGTGTTTCCAAAAGTCAAAACACAACAGAATTTTTGAGATCTGCTTTAAAATAATCAAGGGGGCTGGGTGCGGTGGCTCATGCCTGTAATCTCAGCACTTTGGGAGGCCAAGGCGGACAGATCACCTGAGATTGGGAGTGATCCCGTCTCTACTGAAAATATACATACAAAATAATTAGCTGGGCGTGGTGGTGGACACCTGTAATCCCAGCTACTCAAGAGGCTGAGACAGAATTGCTTGAATCCAGGGGGTGGAGGTTGAGATGAGCCAATATCGCACCATAGCACTGCAGCCTGGGCAAGAAGAGCAAGACTCTGTCTCAAAAAAAAAAAAAAAAAAAATCAAGGGAAGGCAGGCTAGCGGAGAAGAGGAGATGAGAAGACTGGCCCTGCGGGGCTCGTTGTCGAATCTGGGGTGTGAAGGCAGGGGCCATACAGTTTTCCTGTGAGCTGATGCGGCTAACTCGGCTGCTTTCCTTTCCTCCCGCTCCCAACATGCTGAGAAGCTCAATACCTGTGACGTGAATAGGACAGACCCCAAGTCTTAAGGAATGGCCACACCTGTCCCAAACCATCAGCCTCAAGTCATCGGCCGGCCATGTGTTCCGCGCAGGGTTGGGACACACAGCCTGGAGACTTGGCCAGTGAGACGGGCTCGATGAGTAATTCATCAGGACGACTGGCATTGTTCCAGGCAGACCAGGCCACCTGGGGACCCCACCCGTGACCTGAGCTGGCTGAAGCAGGGAGAATCTCAGGCCTGTGATTCAAGAGTCTCGCTCATGCCATCTCCTTGCTCTCAACGAGAAAGTGGCTGGGTTGCCAGCAGCAGCCATCAGAATCCAGCATGGGAAGGAGCCCAGAGAAACTGACGGGTGTTATAACTAAGCTGCAGTGGACGCCCGCCCCACTGACGAATCTTCCAGCATGTAAGCCAAACCTCCCTCCACTTTCGAAGCATCTGTGAGCTGTGTTTCCAGCTCCTTCCCCCGCAGGACCTGCCAGTTGGCTCTCCTGCACCCCAGACCAGCAGGTGTCATTTCAGAGCCTCCTCGAGGTCACTCTTTCTCAGGTTAAACATTGTTCCTCTGAATGGCACCGCTTAGTAGGTGTCCATCAACTTTCTCGTGACGTTCCTTGGAGTTTGTTCCACACAGGCCATTCTGTTCCTCAAGTGCCTGGTGAAGGCTAAGGTCAGTGACGACCCCTGCTAATTCTTCTCCTTGTGCTCAGGGCTTCCTGGCACACTCTGGGCAGCCAGCAGCTAATTAAATCGTCTCACCAAGGTATCCTGCATGACACACAGTGGTGAACCTAAGTGCAAATGCCTGGGTAAGCATCGTGAGAGGGACCAGGTCCGATGCTTCTCAACATCTGGACTCAGCGCCTATTCTAAAGCTTCTGTTTCCAAAGATATGCCATGCTAATTTGGAGCAGGCATGGCAGGATGCTGGTCAGCTTGCAAACGCACAAGGCCCTCCCGGGTCCTGGCGTGGTGATGCAGCCTGGCCTGTCCTCCAAGCTTATCAGGAATGGCAGCATTGCCCTGCAGGAGACTTCAGGTGCTTAAGGACCATGACACAGGGATGCAAGGGACCAGCAATAGTCACCTTCACCCGTGAATGGCATCTAGGTTTTTCTTCTAGCTTCTTTATTTCAATTCTTTAGACCAATTCTCTCTCTCTCTCTCTCTCTCTCTCTCTCTCTCTCTCTCTCTCTGGCTTTCCCTCTCCCTCTGGCTTTCCCTCTCCCTACCCCTCTCTCCTTCCCTCCCCTTCCCTCTCTTGCCTTCCATCTCTCCCTCCCCCTCTCTCCTTCCCTCCCTTTCCCTCTCTCTCCTTCTCTCTCTCCCTCCCTCTTTCCCTCTCTCTCTCCCCCCACTCTCTCTCTGTCTCCCCTCACCCACCCCCCACTTTCCTTCCTCTCTCTGTAACTTCAGTTGAGTGTTGAACTTGGTAACTCTCCTGTAGCCCCTCTTGGAGTACACAATTGAGCAAGGCTTACTATACACAGTTTGGATAATCACATGTGTTAATTCAGGGATTCCTTAACCTACTGATTGTCAGAAATCCAGCAATGGCTGACCTAACAGCTAACACTTGAAGCTTGCTTGTTCACCATAAAGGTGCAGATTAAACCTAAAGTGAGCTGCAGGGTTTATTCGAATTCTCTCTTCAATGCTGTGACCCCTCCCAATGAAATTAAAAAATAGGCATAACTTACTGCATCATCGGCATTATGGAAAATGCCAGGGGCTGCTGGGCTCAGAAAAATAACAACGAGCTTGTAAGATGGCCTCTGATTTGCTGACAAGGAGGCCGCCGAGGGGACCCACACACGGCTCTTTCCTCTTCTAGAGTTTTGCCCTGCCTGAGAGCCCTGCGTGGGCACCTTCGAGGTTTCATCACCCACTCTATGAAAGAACCAACAGCCTCTTTTGTTACTAGTTAGACATTTCTGCCCAATAGCAGAGCCCTCTGCAAAGCGCACAGTGCTGGCGCTCCCACTGAATTCTGTTATTCACACCGTCCTACAGGCTCATCAAAGGTGCGATTCAGGGCTGCCTGGATGAAAAGGAATTTCAAAGGCAGCTTTCTCTTGCTGACTTCTTTGAATCCACTTGTAAAAAATCAGAACTTGATTCCAAGCTTGTTCCAGGGATGGCAAATTAATGAACTGTCCCCATGTCACTAAAGACTTCTCTCAGAACTCGGGTGACAGGGGGATTGGGTTTTTATTAGCTGCTTTCCCGGGAGCTCTTGCAATGCCAGCCTTTTATTGTTGCTTGGGAGGGTGTTGTATGAAGCTGATGAGTGTTTGCTGCAAAAGCTTCAGTATAATGAGAGATTAAGTCGTTTCTCCCTCTTCCACTCTTCCTTTTCCACAGTCAAAGGAATCAGGAAGGCAGAATTCAAATGAAAACTAAGCAGTGCATAATTCTTAAATGCAATAGTTAAATGCCCATAATAAGTAGAGCAGCTATTACATGGGTGCTTTTCACAAAAGGTTCTGATGCTTCTCTCTCCTTTGAAAGGATCTGCTCCTTAAAATCTGACTTAGGGGATATTCAATCAGCATGAATACCTCCGAGGTACTTTCACCATAAGATAGCTGTCAACTCTTTCCCACAAAGCAAGACGTTTACAATATATTTACGAGAGAGTCCACGTGGAGAGGGCTTGAATATGTTCATTGTGCTTCCTTCAAAGTGGCATGATGAGGAATCAGAGGACATTTTATAAGACGGGAAGAAGGCAATTTGGCTTCCTGTAACACCTTTCATGCTCGAAGAATCCCAACAGTGAAATACTTATGAAGAATAAAATGCTTGCACTTTGTAAGTGAGAGAGCGGAGTTGCAGCAGTGAGGCTGGAAATGGAAAAAAGCTGAAATCAAACATGGGCTGGAGCCAGACTTCAGCTGGGTCTCCAGGGGATTGAGATCCCAGTGTGCAGCGGCAGTTGAGATGAGGAGGGTCTGTTCAGGTGTCTTCGGTGGCCGAAGGGAAGCCCCTCGGAGCTGCTGCTGTTGACAGTCACCCTGTCCGGCTGCTTCCCTCGGGTGCAGTGGCCTCATCTGTCCCTTGTTTTTATTTACTCGAAATGGTCCTTTTTCATGCCTTTGCCTGGTTTTAAATTGATAATTCAAAGAAAATTATGACAACAAGAACAAGTCCTGCTTGTCTGGCCACTGATACTTTCACCGCGACTATCATCTTTGGGTGTTCTCTCGGTCCTAATCTGTAAGGATGAATAATTTTACTGAGTCGCGCTCCTGGCTTGGACAGGCTTCTGTGTTCTGTTTTCTCGCCTGACTTTGGTCACCTCCATCTCTTGCCTCCATTTGCCTACATTTTAACAAGTGCAAACCATTAAGGGGCCAGGCCGCCATTTTGTCCAATATTCTGCTATTGCCGAACCTTTGGGTTCATTCATCTATTCATTCATTTTTTTTAAATGCTTGAAGTAGGAGCACCTACTTTGAATTAAAGAGATAAAGATGCTGAGATATAAAGGTTTTCACTGGGGATGAGGATAAAAAATGAATAATGAGTAAACTTTATTATATGTTCCAAGGTGAGAGGTTACCTGGAAAAGTCAACCCATGGACGAGGAAGGTGGGTGTGTGGAGGCGGGGAGAGGAGTCTGTGGGTTCGAAGTGTGCAGCCTGGTGGGCCTCCCGGAGAAGGTGATGTGGGCCAAGATGAGGAGGTGAGCAAGGAAGCCACACCCGGGGAAGGAAGGCTCCAGGCAAACTGGACGGCTCCCGGTGGCAGGCTGGCCTGGGAGAGGATCCGCAGGAGGGCCAGCTTGTGGGTGGCTTCTAATCACTGTTAGTTTAGGCAGTTGCTTCTTTTGGATGGATTCCTGGGAGCCAAATCATTGTGTCTGAGGTTGTTTGTATTTTTATGGTTATTTTTATGTGTGGTCAAATTATTCTTGCAAGGGCCTGTACCAATTTCTACTGCTACCAGCAATTTATGATTATAGCACAGGATAATCCCAATAGTATTAACTATTATAGTTTTAAAAATATGTTAATTTAATAGAGTTTAATACAGTTTCTTGTTGCTATTTTACTCTATTTTAAAAGGGTGAACGTTTTTTCATTGTTACCAACATCATGACAGCACAGGAATGGTCCCTTTATAATTCTCGGCCATTTCCCTTAATTGCCATTGACTCATTTATTTACAGTAGAGTTGCCAGATTTAGCAAATAAAAATACCAGGCACTGGGTTCAGTTGGAATCTCAGATAAACAACAAATAATTTTTTGTATAAGTATGTCCCGTGCAATATACTAAAATAGTATTTATTGTTTTTTGAAATTCAAATTTAACTGGGCTTCCTGTATTTCATTTGGAAACCCCACTTTAAAAGAACGTGTATTACATATCTACTATGCACTATCGTCTCGGGGTGTCGAAGCCTTGGTGCTGGTCTCAGTCGTTTGTTAAGTAAGTAGATATTTGATGTTAGTCTCAGTAGTTTGCCAAGCAGGTATACTTGATACTAACTTATTGCCTTTCACATGAATTCCTAATGCCTTCCAGTATGTTTATCTTCTATTTAAGTTATTATTTCTAATTGTAGAAATTTTAATTTGTGGATAATTGACCTTTCTTTTCCTTTTTAGTTTATCTTCTATTTCAAAATTAGGAAGATAGGACACATCTAATGATAAGACTCTCAGATCTCCTGCTGATGGGTTTTAATGATACTTGGAAAGACATTTACTGCTATGCTTAATTCTCCAGAAAAATGATTCCCAACTCTGAGAGATACAGATTGTTGAATGAACTTAGGTGTATTCTTAGGCTCGGTAAGAATGTTTCTTCTGAAAACGCGCTCATATCCACCCTCATAGCCCATTTCTCATGCAGCAGCTGCAAATGAAACCGCTGCTGCTGCCGCCGCTGCTGCTGTTCAGTGATGACCTGCTTGTGTGCTGAGCTCTCCTGAAGCTCAGGCATGAGGATGCCCACTACCCATCCTCAGGTTTTCCTCACTGTGCCCCCAGGAGGGAGGTGTTAAAGACATACCATGTGAAGCTCAAAGACGTTACCAAACTAAAAGAACACAAAGTTATACATGCTGTAAATTATAGAAGCAGGTTTGGTCATGAGTTTGGAGCTGGAGTTCTTAACCATCACCTGATAGTGTGGGTGTTCTGTATTTAATCAGAGTGAATACTCTCCGCTAACAGCCATGATGCCCTCCCTAACAACAATGCCCCAAATGAATGGGATTAAAAAGTATATAACAGAGCAAACATTATCGATGAATTCACATGGTTGATTTTGCATCTAAGCAATGAAGCTTGTGTGGACTGACAGAATTTAAAACCTACTTCTTGGAAGTCATGTGGAACAGAACCGGTCAGCTGTTCTGTAATGTGTTTCTGTTTTGCAGACTTGATTTAGAGAATCACCATACAAAAATTTTCTTCCTGCTCTCCATCATCATTGACACCACCCCAATAGAAAATCTGACCATTGTAAAGTTCTCTTTTTTAAATTAAAGGATGCGTATGCACGTGAGAAATGAGGTTGGGGTTGATTTTCATGACGATGCAAAGGAATAATCAATACTAATAAAATGTGTGGACAGAAGGAGGTTCATACTCAGATAGCACTTGCGGTGATGCAGTGTCTTAGGTGAGTTGGAAATTAGGTCCAGTCATTTTATTTCAAATCTTCCACCCATAATGTGGCTGTTTAATGGAAGTGACAAATAGATATTGTTGCAAAAGCACTTTGCACATCTGCAAAAAATGGTACTGGGAAAACTGAATATCCATGTGCAAATGAATAGAGTTGGACCCCTACCTCACAGCATATACCAAAATTGACTCAAAATAGATCAAAGACCTAAATATAGGACCTAAAACTATGTTTCCTTCTAAGAGTTTTAGACCTCCATGACCTTGGATTCGGCAATAATATCTTTAATATGACATGATTAAGAAGTGGACAAAGGACATGAACAGACACTTTTCAAAAGAAGATGTAGACGCACCCAACAAGCATATAAAAAATTCACTGTCACTAATTATTAGAGAAATGCAAATCAAAACCACAATGAGAAATCATCTCACAACAGTCAGAATGGCTATTACTTAAAAAGTCAAAAAAGAACAGATGCTGGCGAGGTTGCAGAGAAAAGGGACTGTGTTTACACTGCTGGTATATACCAAACCCCCTTGACACACACTATACCTATGTAACAAACCTTTACATGTACCCCAAAACCTAACATAAAAGTTTCAAACATTAAAAGTATATATGTATTTTGTAAGCATGAAAAACAAATCTTTCCTTATAAATACAAAATTACAGCTAGATAGGAGGAATAAGTTCCAGTGTCTATATCATTGCAGGATGACTAAAGCAAACAATAATATGTTACATAATTTCAAGTAGCTAGAAGGAGAATATCTACTGTTCTCAACACAAAGAAATAGTAAGTGTTTCAGATGATGGATATACTAATTACCCTGATCTGATGGCTATTCATTATACAGATGCATCACTATGTACCACATGAATATGAACAATTATATTTGTCAATTAAAAAATAAAAGCATGAGCAACAAAAGAAACAAAATAGGTAAACTGGGCTTCATCAGAATTAAAACTTTGTGCTCCAGAGGGCACTGTCAAGAAAATAAAAAGACAACACACAGAATGGGAGAAAATATTTGCATATTATATATCTTGCAAATCACGTATCTGACAAGGGTCTAGTATCCATAATACATAAAGAACTATTACAAGTCAACAACAAAACACACAAAAAAATAACAGAGGACTTGAATAGACATTTCTCCAAAGAAGATATACCAGATTACATCAAGCACATGAAAAGATGCTCAACATCATTAGTCTTTAGGCAAATGAAAATTAAAATCGCAGT